GCTGGGGACGTGAGCTGCGCTCCGGGGCAGGGGAGGGCAGTGGGGGCTGTGGGGGGCTGCTGTGCTGTGTCGGGCAGCGGGTTCCTGCATCTCGGGCCGGGAGGAAGGTTAGTGCCATTGGGACGTCCCGGAGCAGGGGACACCGAGAGCAGCAGCTCGGCAGCTGTGATTCCTCGTGCCGGGCTGGCACGGGGTGACATTTCATCTCTGCCCGGGGAGCCACGTGGGGCTGTGACAGAGGATCCTGGTCTGGCTGTGAATTATGCAGGGCCCTCTCGGCCACCTCCAGCCCGTGTCCTCTCCTGGGGGGGGACAGGCTGGCAGCCATCTGGCAGACCCCGCTCCCCACTGGAGCTGCTGCCTTGGGATGCCAGTGGCCGGTGGTGCCACCCGCCAACAGGGGTGCGCTGGGTTCCCCCTGTGCTGGTCTCAGCCCCACGGCTGTGGGGTGCCTGTGGGGCAGGGGAGGGGGATTGACTTTGGGGACCCAGCCCCCTGCCTGGCTTGGGACCAGCTCTCCTCTCCCCCCTGTTCTAGGAAGGGCAAGTGGGACGAAGATGACTTTGAAGAGGACCTGGGCGAGGAGGAGGAAGAAGAGGAAGAAGAGGAGGAGGAGGAAGAGGAAGACTATGAGGAGGAGGAAGACATGGGAGAGGAAGGGCTCAGCTCGGCGGAGGCGGTTCGGGCGGGCGCGGGGTCCCTGCTGCTCCGCAAGCCCCCGGCCCCCCAGCATTACCGGGGTGAGCCCCAGCGGCTGCCGGGGGGCCAGGAGCGGCTCCCCCCCGGCCTGGGCCACGCGCAGCCCCCGCCCCCGGCGCCCGACCACGGCGACTGGACCTACGAGGAGCAGTTCAAGCAAGTAGGTGCCCGCCGAGACCCGCGTGTCCCCCCGTTCCTGTCCCTCCCCTGCGTCCTTGAGCGCCGTGGTGCCGCCTCCGACCGAGCTGCTGTCGTTGCCGCTGAGAAAATGTGGGATTTTTCTGGGGTTTTAGTGTTGGGCTCAGCCGTGCTCCCTCCCCTGAGCCTTTAGTCGGTGGCTCTGGTGGGATCCTGCGTGTCCCGGTTGGTACCGTGGCCTGGCCCCAGCGCTGGTGGCATTTGCCTTAGGGACCTGGGAGAATTCTTGCTGGAAATGATGGAAAAAAACTACCCCAAACTTGCAAATCTGAAGGGAGGAAGGAGCGGAGCCGGAGAGCGCGCACATGCAGCGGGCACAGATGGCTGCCCTGGCTGCCATGCGGGCAGCGGCCGCCGGCCTCAGCCACTCGT